CCCCAAAACCCCAAAACCCCAAAACCCCTTAAATAAATATAAATTTTGAAACTTTTAAAAATTAAAAATGATATCTTCAACTACAGGTAAAGATGAGATGACCAAAGCTTTACAAGTCTTAAAGTCTCGAGTCGATTGTGTCCATGCACTTGGACTAGAATTGTATATACTATATGGAGGAAATTTAGCAAAAAGGAGCAATCAAGTGTACACTTATAATCCCAATACTAATGCATGGGCTCAACCCAAAGTCAGTGGAAAACCCCCTCCAGCCACTTTCTATAATTGTATTTGGTACGAGGAGCCGCTCATGTATGTTATGGGTGGAGAGACAGAGAAAAAGAAGACTAATGACCTTTTCTGTCTGAATACAGAGACTTGGACATGGAGGAAATTTTTCATTTTTGAATCACCCGCCCCAAGATATCAGCATTCTATTACCAGAGGAGAGAAGGATAGCACAGCGATAATGTTCGGAGGTTTCTCTACCAAGAACCTTAATGATTTGTGGGAGCTTGACATGACAATGGTGAGTCATACTGGGAAAGGGGATCTTCCAGGAGCTGTCTGGAACTCACTTTCTCAGAAAGGCACCATTCCACCAAAGAGGAGAGGACATAAAATTATTAAAATTCCTGCTAAAAATCAAATTGTCCTTTATGGAGGATATACACTTGAAGATGAAGATATAGAACAGAAAGAAGATAATGACCTCTACATTTTAGATTTATTAAGTGTCACTTGGAGCAAACTTAAACTTGATGGAGAGTATCCTGAACCAAGAGCTCTCCATTCAATGACCTTCTTTACTCCACAAGATCTTCTAATATTTGGTGGAGAGCAGATAGAATTTAAAGACTCTGATGAAAATTCGGTTAACTTTCTAAACGACGTATACATTATTAATTTACCAGATAAAAAGCTCAAAAAGTTCACAATCTCTTCTCAGCACCCATGTCCGCTCTACGAGCATGTATGTATCCTCAAGAGTGGGCCTTACAACCCTAAGACTCTAATTTTCGGGGAGATTTCTACTAAATATGTGAAATCGTTCCCAGTCACTCTTTCCTACCACTGAATCGAAGAAGAAGTCAAGCTTGGAAAGTCAAATCAGGAAAAACTTGAGCGAGAGCGTATCCAAAATTTAAAATCTGAGAACATACAAGCTCTCGAGAATAAACTCGGACTTAATACAGAAATCATTGCAGAATACAAACAGCAGATTGAAGATCGTGTTGCTCATGAAGAGACCAAGGTAACTAAAATGGATTGCGGGAGTAGATAGAGGGGTTATATGCCTATTTAGCAATCACCAACACTCAAAATGGAGAAGATGAAGCAAGACTTGGACGCCTTATTCAACAAATAAAAGCCAGATCGAGAAAGACATTCAGAATAGAGTAAGCTCTCTGGCAATGTAATATAGAACCAAAAGCTCAAGGCAAAGTTCGAGGAAAACAAAGCCAAGTTTGCACATTTCCAGAAATTAGTCAAGGAGAAACAATCTCTCGCAGAGATCTATCAGAAGAAAGCTCAGGTTTTGGAACAGAATTTTGGCAAAGCGGAGTTATTTTTACTCAAAATGTTATCGATAAATGAAAGGTTAGAGGCTCTTAATCCAGGAGACCGGATAAGCATCTTTGATCAGTCGGAATCACTCCCCAACCCGCCTAATCTTGAGAGTTTAAAAATACAGCACAAGAAGGCATTATTAGGAGTCAGAGAGTTCTACTCCTCTTTCAGCCCAAGTATCGAAGAAGCTAATTCCGAAAATTCAGCAGTGTTATCTAAGATAGAGGAATTACATTCCAAAGTAGTAGGAGCTAAGTCTGGTCAATAATTTGTTCTCTAAATGGGGTTTTGGGGTTTTGGGGTTTTGGGG